GAGAGCAGAGGGCTCTGCAACCTAGCAGGGAAAGGCAGAACAAGAGGCAACGTCTGGACGTTGAAAGTGGCAAACTTCCAATCGGAAGGCAGACCCAGTTTTTTACAGGGAGAGTAACTAACCAGTGCCGAGATTTACCCAGAGAGATGATGGATCCCCCAGCACTTGAAGAGTTTAAATCGCAAATGGACATCTCTCTCAAAGAGAAAGCAGTTCTGGGCTGGATGCAGAAAGCCCTGGGCAAGGTTGCCTGACCTGTGCTAGGCAGCAGAATGGATTAGATGGTCCTAGAGGTCCCCCTTGTCCTGGAAAGTCTGAATCTATTAATAATCCTCTACCTGCACCAGAAAACTGTCCATCCTGCCTAGCAAGTCCACTCCCCCATGCTCTGCGCCTGTCTGCTGTGGAGCTGGGTATGGGCTTGCCAGGCTGAGCCCGGAGCTAATTATCTCTGAAAGGGAAAGGCTCTGCCACAAAGCCACACTCCCAGCCTGCTCCGTAATCTGTTTACGAAGGGGGCAGATTTCTCTCTATGCCACAGCGATAATGCTCTTCTCTGTAAAAAGATCTGCATCAGTAGCCAAGTGCTTTAGACAACTCTCCAATAACAAACTATTGTGCAACCCGGCACTCATCTGCAACCCTAAATAACTACAGGCTGTTACATATTTGTTGTACTCCTGCATTGGCCAGTGGCAGTGTCTGACCCCACGTCCGTGAAGGCTACAGCACAGAGCTCTTTCATTTTGCCTACAGGAGCAAATAACAGGAAAGGGCGGGGGGGGGGGGGAGTACATGCTGCTGTCATATATGATGCCTGGCCCCAACTGGAGCTGCAACAAACACACGGCCAGCAAGTTACACAGTGACTTGTGAGCCAAGGTGCAATATTAGACATCAGGATTCCTGGGCTCTGTTCCTCGCTCTGGGAGCGGATTGTGGTCTAATGAATATAACACCACACCTGTTTGGGGCATGTGGGTGTGACACCCTGTACCCCAAAGCAACAGCCAGGCACCCCCCCATTCACCAGGATGATTTAATTATAATATGTTTTATACAAAGTATACCTTGTGAGGTATCATTTTAAACATCTTGATCTATTGAACATTAATACCCTGTTGGATTGTGCGTGCTGTCTTTGAATGGGAAGTTATAAAGTTTTGCTATGTGTATATTACTGAAATGTGTTATAAGGTTGGAAACACCCACAACCAACCTTTCAGGAGCAACAGTGGAGGAGTGAGATGTGTTGATGGCCCATTAAGGGGAATCCACACTCACAAGGACTACCCCAGGAACCGTGTACAATGGAGACCTCTCAGAGAGAGCACAATGACAATGGAGACTGCTTGACTCACCTCATAGCAAAGGATCTTTTCAGCAAGCTGGAAGAAGCTATAAAAGGGGCAAGTGACATCGTCACTTGTCCTCATTCTCCTCACAACTCGACACCTGGAAACCTATCTGGAGAACAAAGACTTTGAATGGGGGAGGTGGTTCCAGGCTGAAAAGAGGAATCCCAGCCTGTGTATGAAGGAGCTATACCATCAGGGTGAGATACTGCTGGATTCAAATCCTGGATAGTTATAGAACTCAGACTGAGATTTTACTTTTATTTCTTAGGTGACCAACTTCGATCTGTAAGCTTGCTACTTATAATCGCTTAAAATCTATCTTTCTGTAGTTAATAAACCTGTTTCATATTCTACCTAAAACAGTGGGTTTTGTTTGCAATGCTTGGGGAATCTGCTCAGAAACAAGAGCTGGTGCATTGTCCTCTCCACAGTGAGTGAGGGGCAGACTAGGTTATAAACTTACACTGGTCAGGCTTCTGACCAGGGTGAGACGGTACAGTTCTAGAATGCAAGGCTGGGGAGAATTGACTGAAGTTTCTATATTGTTGGCTCATGGGTGGCTGGCGAAAGCATTCATGTAACTCAGTTGGGTGTATCCTTGCCTGCGGGTGGCTGTGTAAGTGCAGTACCTGGAGGGGTCTGCAGCTTGCCACAATGTCACAGTGTGAGAGGGAGCCCACGTTGGTAAGACAGAGGGCTCACCAGTACCCCAGTTCCAGGTTGCATCCCAGCGAACCATCACAGTTGGGGAACCAACCTGAGGGCATAAATGCCTGAGCGTTTTCAACTTGAGCTGAAGAACCCACCTTCTTAGCAAGGAAGCAGTACCTGAGTCAATACAATATAGTCTATCTGGTAACACAGACCACCATCAGGGTCAGGTGGGCTACACAAGCACCTTATTTGACGTTCTCCTCCTAAAAGACAATGGCAAAGTGGAGGAGACATGGCTCTATTACATCAGAACTTCCAGCTCTGTCTGGAGTGATCTTGGGTAAGGTCTCAGTTACCTGCTCTGTGGAATGGGTGAACGACAGTTACGAGTGTGACTCTAATGCACGAGAGAGGCTGGCAAGCCACAGCCCCGTTAACAGCACTCAGTCGCAGAGCTGAGATAAGGGCTTGCAGGGCAGTATGCCTCCCGATAAGCTACAGCATGCAGGGCTCCTGCCCCTCCCTTTGAGTTTTTCTGCCCCCAAACCACAGAAAGGCTGCATGTTTTTGCATCTTCACAAGCCATCCTGCAGCAGGGATGCAAAACATCTGACCAGCGCACAGAGCTGGGTACGCTGCCCATCGTAGTGACATGGACCCTTACCCACAGCGACCCTGAATGGGCTCCTGTAAACACCCCAGCCCCACTGGGGCTCCCACCTTCCTGCTGACCCATGCTCACTCCCAGATTCAAGCTGATGCCAGACTCCCACCCCAAAAGCAAGATGGCCCCCTGCCCAGCCCATGGTGGGATCAGCACAGCAGTTCTGTGGCCTGACCAGACCCGACCTGTCAGGTCCTGAGGAGCTGCTGGCAGCCCTGAGGTCTTCACTCTGCCTGGCTTGCCATGAGGAGGCCAGGTCAGGCTGCCTGCCCCCCTACACACTCCTGCTCGGGGGACCTGGGCTCAGTCCTATAAATTAACGTTTAAAACTGTGATTCTTTAACCCTGGTGGGGGGCTCCCCCCGCCCCCGACTCTGGACCAGCACCAATGGAGCGCTGGCAGGAAACAATGGCAAAAGGTAAGGCTGAGGGAGGCAGCAGGGCTCAGACTCGAGCAGCCCCTCCTCTCTCGCCAGGCAAGGCACACTTCCCCCAGGGTCTTGCTGCCAGGCTGCTGCCCCCAGCTCTCTCTCTAGCTCACACCGTAGTCGTGCCGAGCGGCCCCACTGTGCTAGATGTTGTGCAGACACAGCAAGCACCAGCAAGAGACCAGAGGTTATCTGAAAAGAATCCACATGGACCCCACTAAAACCCAGCATTGCTTGCCCTGGCCTCTCATGCTCCTTGGGGCTTGCTGCTCTTCGCTCCACTGGACAGAGGTCAAACACCACAGCTGCCAACGACAAGGTTTTAAAGGCGACTTGAGGATGGTTCTGAAGGCAGGAATTGCCAGATGAGATCAGACCAGCAGCCTATGAGCCCAGCAACCTGTACCAGGCAGTGGCCTGATCCAGAGGATGCTTCCTCCCGAGCTCAGCTAGTCAGTGGTTGCTCACCCCCTGAAGCACATGGGGTTATGCCCCTCCAGACCACTGATCTGGGGAAGCTGGGTGTTTGTATCGTGGCGCTAGCGGCTCATGGGAATTGGACTGAGATCTCAGCTCCTTTCTCAAGGGGACCGCTGAGCAGCCGCAAACAACCGGCAATCACTCCTACCCTCAGCAGGATTTGAACTCGCAAGACAACAGCAAACATTCCCATCCCCCACTGTCCCCAGCCATCAATCCTTGCTAATGCCACACCATTGCCTCCTGGGCACAGGCTGACTGCCAACTCCATGGGCACTGTGCCAGAGAGCCCACACCCAATGTGCCGCTGCATGCCATCCACAGCGAAGGCCCATGGCCTCCTGCAGCCCAGCATTCCTGTCCAGCAGCACTGCCTGCCACCCAGCACTCTCCCCTTCCCGGCCTACACAGCTGGTGAGCTACTAGTGGCTCCAAGAGGCCCTGAATGGGAATGAGACGGCCACGTGGGGATGGGGATGAAGGAGAGGCCGTAGCTGGAACGCCGGCTTAATGCCTGGTCAGAACGGCCGGCAGGAAAGCCAAGTGGTGCCTAGAGACAGACCAGATTCAGGACTCCTGGATTCTAGTACTAGCTCTGCCCCTCAGTTGCTGTGAGATTTTCAGCATCTTCCCCTGCCTCCCAAGGGAGTGCAAGGCCTAACTGTTTTCAAGTGCTTTGAGATCCCCAGAGGAAAGGGCCTCAAGCCAAGGGAGGTGGGAGCTCTAGCGGCTAGAGCAGCAAATAAGGGTGCCAGCTCTGCCGTTGCTTTGCGCCAGTCTCGTCCCTTCCCTGGGTCTCAATCTCTGCCGTGGCCTGGCTTTGTCAGCTGGTTTGAGGGGCTAGATGAGCGAACTCCGGCTATTTGCACAGCGTATGGAGGACGGGCAGTGTCGATGCAGGCGACTGGCTGCCTCAGCAGAGGGGCTGGTCGGGTAGAGTTCTACCACCCAGCAGCGAGACTGGCTGCTTTGCTCACCCTTCCCCAAAGCCTCGTGTGGCGGCAGCAGCCTGGCACCTGCTAACTGGCAGCGGCTGTCACACGGGTCCCAGAAGAACATGGGAGCTCACGGAAGGCCCACGGCACAGTGGCAGCTCAGCCACCTGAACGCCACGGTGGGAGTTGGATGTGTCGCAATGCCCTGGCAGGCCCGGAAGCACCTGCCTCATGCAGAGCCCAGACCTGCATCCTGGCCGTAGCAGTGCTCCGCCAATGCCGGGCATGAAGCGGGCCCACAGGGAGCAGGAGGGAGTGGGTATCTGGCTGCTGGCCCATCGCTGGTGGCTGGCGATAGCTGCAGCTCAGTGAGATCCTCTAGCAGAAGAAGCCTGTTATCAATGTTGTTGTTTGCGTTATTCCCTCCCGTGTGTTTATCTGCAGACTCACACACTACACCCGGCATTATAAATAAATCTGCAGCTGTTCAGAACTCGCAGACACAACTCTGGACTCCTTCCCACCATAAACTGCACAGCTCCCCATGGCACAGTTATGGTAAGTGCCTATCCTTTTCACTTTGAAGATGCTTTCACTGAGCAACTTTCTGCCCTCGCTGACGGGGCTGGCTTGTAAGGACTTCCACAGCATTACAGCCACTCTGCCACACAAGCCTGTGCTCGGTTAGTCCCAGCTCAGAGCACTCTGCAGGTCAGCACCGTCGGTACACAGCCGCCAGCTGGTCCAGAACCTACTCTGGACCATGTGAAAATCACACCCGTGTTGATACCCGGAGGGGGGACCTTGTTTTGCACACTAGCCTCTTGCTACTTAAGTCACAAGTGAAAAGAGCTTGGGACTCACTTTTCCGCAGCTGGCTGGCTGAGGATTGAGGGTCATTGGCAGAGTTTGGAGGAGAAGGCAGGACAGGACTAGTAGGGGATGCTAAAGGTCAAAATTAAGGGGCATTGGCAAGGGGGGAAAGAGGGGAAGGGGTTCATCAGAGCATGTGTGCGCACTATGGCCTAGTTCACAAACATTGAGGATCTGGCCCTGTGTTTCTCACCAGTTGTGACAAACACCTCATTCACAAGCACTCGCGTCCAGATGCAAAGTGCACCAAACAGCTGGAGTTCACCCTTTCATTTCTCCTCTCACATCTCTAATCCCTTCTTCCCCTCCCTCCCCTCCTCACTGCAGCCTCTTCCTCGTTCTGCTTCTCTAGTTATTTCTCAGGGTAAGGAATAAACCAAAGTTTCTCCCACTTCAATGTTACTGACTGAATAGACCTCTGCATGGACACTGGAAGGGACTCCCTCCTGGGTTGGTGCTGGATGGTAAGTAATTGCCTATATAATTAAATGCCCCTTTTTAAGATATCAAAGCTCTCAACTGCAATCGATGGTAACTCAGCCCTTGAAGCATAAAGCTCATAAGGTGCATTGCCCAAGAGTTGCAGGCAGCAAAATTAATCCAAACTTGACCTACAGCACCTCACTGCATGAGGGCACGCAGCCAATGAGCTGCATCTGTCAGGCCAGTTCCAGGCTGCCCTCCCGGCAGTGCAGACAGCTCCCCGTGCCCAACACCAAGACCTCGGTGCAGACGAACTGGGCTCAAAGGCTGACTCTGAATTGTACTGGAATGGCCTTGCAGTGATGCTCCCTCCTCAGCAAGGCCCTGTCCAAGGGAGCAACGACCCCACACTGCCATAGTGCAGTTTGGCCTTTGGTGGGCCTGAGCATATTCCAATCAGGAGCAGGTTAGCGGGAGCTGTTACACCCAGGAAGGGGTGCAGGTGTGTGGGGAGAGGTACGCCACCGTTCCCAGGAGGGGCAAGTCCAAAGCTGCCATTGGCCCCGCCTGTGCCATGCTGCCAACACCCAGCGCTCGCTATCATGGCCGCCGACGTCATGAGATCAGCTTAGAGCTCAGGAGATCTTTGAAACAATACGTCTGGGGTTCTTGCTACTTGCTTTCTGATTCGGGGGAGAGGGGGGGAGGGAGGGAACGTTTTCAAGCTTTTCTCCACAGTTAGCAGGGCTGGGAACTTCCTTTAAAAAAAAGAAATGAAAGGCAAGGCTTCCTCGGAGTGCCAGGACTCCAGGAGCTGGGGCTTTAAGAGATGCACCAAATATCACGAGACTCATATTAAAATGGCGAGAGTCGGCAACGCTGTAAGTGACCGAAGAAAAAACAGCTACAAGAATGTAGGCCTGAGCCCTGAGCACAGACATAGACTGGGCAGGGTGGGCTGTCCCCTGAGACCCAAAAGGATGTCCTGGGAATCCCCAGGGCCTGGTGCCCCAACACACTGGGCCATCCCCATAAACGTGGTGGAGTTCCCCAGGGACAGACGGGGCCCATTCCCGGTTCCTTTCCCACTGTGATGAGTGGAGCTGAGTGACGTCCCTTGGCCCAGCTCAGGCACTTCCCTCTCAGCAGAGCACTGGAATCTCCCGCGGCGTGGCAAGCTCCATGATGTACAGATGCACGGATATGCTGATCTGGCACAAAATCCCTCATCAAAACAGGGAAACGCGCGCTCTAGGCCAGCCTGTGCACAGCCACGAACTCCTGTGCAGGGGGGGTAGCTAATGAGGAATCCATCTGGGCCTGGCTAAGGAGCTTTCCTGCAGATGTATTTATCCTCCCTGCAGTTGAAAGGCCCCCTATCTGCCTCCTGCTCTTTACTGGGGCCTAATATAATATTTTCACCAGTCAGAGCTAAGAGGGTCTTGCAAACCCAAAGGCAGCTGCTTGCCCTTCACGACAACACCCGGCTTTGCTTTGCCTGGCCTGGGGCCAGCGGAACAAACTGAAACCCAATCCCCACAGCCGACCAGTCAGCACAGAACGGCACACTGCATTGTGAACCGGGGCGACAGGATACTTGGGATACTTTGCTCAGGGATCCACTTAGCCTCCAAGAGGGAGAGAGTGATTGATAGGGAAAGGGAATGAACGATGACTGATCTGGAATGGGATTCCCAGCCCCCCCCCCGACACACACACGCCTTCAGGGAACAAGGAAAGCCAAGGGCATGGTGTGGCAATGCCCTACTGCACTGGCAGGAGCGCTGGCGGTGTTAGTGTTTGCTCTGGGGCAGCAGGGAGCAGGCAGCCAGGGGCAGAATAATTTCTCTGCACTGGCCCTTGAAAACACCAAGTACAGAACGATGCCCACGGCTCTGGCCTCACGCCCATGCAGCAATACTCCATGTACCCCAGTAACCGTCAGGCCCAGGCCTGACCCTGCAGTGGGATGTGCGTGGCCAGCCCCACGGCTCAGACCATAGGAGTGGGGTCCTTGTCAGCAATAACAATGCACGGAGGAGGGGCAGTCCGACACCCCGCTGGCATCACGGGAGTCGAGGACTCAATCCAGGCTGCAGGATATCAGGAGAAGAGCCCACGTTCCCAGCCCTGGGGAGGATGAGGCATGCATGCCCTCTGCCTGTGACAGGCCAGGGACCCAGCAGGAAGGGGAGGGGAAGCGGTCTGCTCACACACTGTGTGGATGGGAAAGGGCCCCGGATGGTGCCGATATCCTTAACCAGTACACACCACCCTCCCTCTGGCTTCGTGACTCCCGCGGGCTCCCCCCGCCCCACCCGGATAGCTGGGTTCTTTATGGCTTCAGAGTAACTCCCACCTGCCCTTGGCCTCACTTCCTGCTGGTTTTGATGGGTCCCAGGTCTGCCCCTCCTGCCGCGCAAGTCAGTGGAAGGCTAGCCATGGGAGCAGGATCGGACTGCATTGTGTAGGGCACCGTGCTAGGCCAGGGAGGAAATCAAGGGGCTGCTGCACTTGTGCGGCGGACGATTTCACTCAGGGGTTCTTGCTCTGCCTATGCCCACCAGCTCTGGGGCTCCATCTCTCACGATAGCTTCTGAATCTTTCCCGGGAGTCCTGACCCCGTGGAGGGGTGTCTGCACAGAGCTGAGCTGGGCTGGGCTGCTCCCGCACCCCCGTATGACTGTAATGCTTCCTTCTCCACAACAAAACTCCTATCCCGCTGCACATGGATTGGCCGAATGGAGTGGAGGTTTCCGCACCCTCTCAGTGCCAGCAGGGAACACCCGCTCACAGAGAAGGGTGAGTCCCCCGTACAGCTCTGCCCCTCCCTGTGCAGAGCGCCCCACTTCTGCATCGCCCTCAGCGACAGAGAGCCAGTGTAATTCGAGCCAGTGTGTTCCCCATAATCAATTCCTTCCTATGGGTTTTCAGTGCACACAACTCAATAGTTCCTGCAATCGTGACAAATTTTGTGGGTTCCTAAATAAGCATTGGCTCCTATTTCTGCCATGACCACAGTCATATCCCACTGACCAAGCTGAAGGGGACTGATTATCAGCCCGGTTACTGGGAAGGCCTTGGCTTGAGCATCTACACTCCTTGAAAAATCAAGCCCACTTCTAGGACAATTTGAGGACTTGGTTAGCGCTATGCACCGATTGCTGACGATTCAGCCCGTGAGCACGCAGCCAAAGCTGTCCATCAGTTGTCGCAGAAGGGACACTGGCCAGTCGCTACACAAGCAGCAGAGTTCCAAGACTTGGCACATTCATCAAATGGAGTGAGGATGCCCACTGTTATTTCCAATTCAGCCTCAACAATGATACTAAAGATGAATTGGCCCAGGTGGAATCCCCACCCGGCCTGGAGGCTTAGTCAACCACCTGGCTGAACACCTCCAGCTCCGGCCCCTCATCAACAGAACCCATACAAGTCAGTCAAGCCTGGCCCCACCTCTCTGACGTAGAGAAGAGTTGATGCTGGGCATCAGGCTTATGCCTATGCTGCAGGGAATGAGGACACTTTACATCAAGATGTCCTACGAAGTTCCAAGCAGGAAAAAATCCCAAAATATTTGGGAAAAGGAGCTATTGGCTATCAAGGCAGCTTTTGAGGAGTGGTACCACATCCGAAAAGGAGCCGAGTTCTGATTCAAGTCCTGCCAGACCACAAGAACCTGGAGTACATACAGACTGCCAGACGTCTTAGCTGACGCCAGATCTGCTGGTCCCTTTTCTTTGCTTGCTTCAGCTTTGTTGTAACCTATCACCCAGGGACAAGAAACAGGAAAGCAGAGGCCCTATCCCCCCAAAGACGAATTTCTCGAATCTCGTGGTGCGCCTTCTCCCACTGTCAACAGGATGAGCAATGGCAGTCTGATGTTCTGCATCCCCTGCTGTGCCGAATTCACATATAACAATACAATCCACACCCCGACCCGACACAGCCCCTTCTTCGCAAACTTTCTCCCCTGCTTCCATCTGGACTTCTCCAGGAGTTCCTCAGTACCAGCCACTGTGGATTTAGCCTCCCACCTATACCAGTGCACCAGGACCTGAAAGAACACCTGTCATCCGTCAGAGAAACTTATCTACACCTAGGGTGACCAGACAGCAAGTGTGAAAAATCGGGACAGGGGATAATAGGAGCCTATATATAAAAAAACCCCAAAATCAGGACTGTCCCTACAAAATTGGGACATCTGGTCACCCTAACACCACCACACAGACCAAGGCTGTCAGGGTGCCCCCCAATAGGGGACAAGGTGCAGTTCTCTGCCCCAAATCAGGCTGCCCATCTGCCAAACTAGACTACCAATACTGGGCCCCTTCAAGACCATAGAACAGGTAAATCCAGTGGCCTTCAAGTTATAGCTGCCTGAGTTCTTGAAGATCCACCCCGTCTTTCACATCTCGCTTTTAAAACTGTACAGCAAGAACCCAAATTTCTCCAGTCTGCCACAGCCACCCATAACAGTCCATGGACAGCAGGAGTACTTGATCTATCAAATCCTTGACTCGCAGAGAGTTAGGGGAAGGCTCCAGCACCTGGTGGACTGGGAAGGCTATGATTGCCATGACTCAAGGGTCGGTCCTGGGGCCGGTTTTGTTCAATATCTTCATTAATGATCTGGAGGATGGCGTGGATTGCACCCTCAGCAAGTTTGCAGATGACACTAAACTGGGAGGAGTGGTAGATACACTGGAGGGTAGGGATAGGATACAGAGGGACCTAGACAAATTAGAGGATTGGGCCAAAAGAAAACTGATGAGGTTCAACAAAGACAAGTGCAGAGTCCTGCACTTAGGACGGAAGAATCCAATGCACAGCTACAGACTAGGGACCGAATGGCTAGGCAGCAGTTCTGCAGAAAAGGACCTAGGGGTTACAGTGGACGAGAAGCTGGATATGAATCAACAGTGTGCCTTTTTTGCCAAGAAGGCCAAAGGCATTTTGGGATGTATAAGTAGGGGCATTGCCAGCAGATTGAGGGACGTGATCGTTCCTCTCTATTCGACATTGGTGAGGCCTCATCTGG